TACACGATGGTAACGACTCTGCCAGCTACCGGTCCTTCAATGGACACTTCTCGTCCTTCTATGGACATTCCTGAGGCCATTACGCCTTGACCGTTCACTACCGCTCCAACTATGTCGCTGGTTTCTGCCATGGCTTACCGTACCATTATTCGAGACAAGGATACTGTCCAGTATACCTTGCGTGCGACTCTGTCCGAAAAAGCGATAGCTCATGCCGCTTTGACCGGTCAACCGGACACTACTGGTTTGCCTCCGGAATATCATGACTTCACTAACGTATTCTCTGAGCAGGAAGCTTATAATCTTCCCCCTCATCAAGAGTTCAATCTTAAGATTGAAACTGTGGAAGGCGAACTTCCTCCGGTCGGACATGTTTATTCCCTTTCCCAAGCTGAGTTAGCCGCTCTTGAGACTTTATTGACAAGAATTTAAAGGTGGGTTTCATATGCCCTTCTCGTTTGAGTCATGGAGCTCCAATCCTTTTCACCAAGAAGAAGGACAGTTCTCTCCGGCTTTGCGTTGATTACCAGGGACTCAACCAGATCACTAAGAAAGACCAGTATCCGCTTCCACTAATCGTGGATCTCCTCGATGTGCCTGGAAAGGCATGCATATACACCAAACTTGATCTCTGACATGCCTACCATCTTAACTTTGACAACCCCTGATTCTCCTCTCAATTTTGCCGATTCTTATTTGATTTTAACTACGACAAGTATGGGGTAAGATAAAAGTAAAAATACATTTTATTTCTGCAAATGACACATAACACCCTGGCTGTCGGTGTGCCAGGCCCACTGTCGATACTGCCATCGTCATCACTATTAACATATTTTTTTCTGCCTCTTGCATAGCACCTTGGTGACTTGAGCGGTAGCACATTGTGACTTGGGCTGACCTGTCCCACAAATGCAAGGTGTGTTATATCCGTGCATCCACGCCTGGCAATCAGCCGGCACTCTACCTTGGCCAACTGCTCTTCCGGTTTCCAGCAGCCAGTTATCCATCCAGTTGCCATTCAGAACAGGTTTTTATGCAATGAAGGATTACTGAGCATTTCCCGTTTATCTGTATGTCCACACGATTCCTATTTCCACTTTTGGATGTCGCTTTGTCCAACTTGAACTTCTATCTCCTTATTTGGACTTTGCTTTGACATTACTACTTATAGTAGTGACACGTATTATGTATATAAACTTGATTATAAACCTGCTTAGCTCTTATTCCTCTGCTTGGTATCTTGAGTCGTCTCGTCTGGATGAAGTCCAGACGTCTACCCTCTACTCTCTCCGCTCAATTGGCCAGATAGCTGTGCTCACCCTTCACATCTACTTTGTGGTGGTTGCGTCTTCCCTAGCCGACCGGTCACCTTATATCCAGCCAGTATCTCTATCCGGTAACGGGCTTCCAAACGACTGGCTGGCATCCAGTCATCCGACCTTGACTCAGGATATAACAAGGTGGCTAAGTGGCTTGAGACATGTAGATACTGCAGGCAAAGGCCAAACAAAATAGTATATTATGTAATTCAAATTGTGAAGTGGACACTTGTTTGAGAGATAGCTAGGGTTAGGGTGATTCACTGATTCTCCAACAACGCCTCCGGAGGTGTTCCACTGATTCTGACGATTCATCGATTCTTGAACAAAATCGGCTACAGAATCGGAAAGAAATCAGTGCATGAATCAGTCTAAAAAAGCAATATTTGACCCCCCCCTAATGTGAGAGACTTTGAAAAATGAGAGGATACACATTGCCCTCTGATATCTGCAAATGTGGTATGGCAGGTGGGGTTTCTTGGTCTCATGTTTGACCTATGGGTTGAGGACCATCTCATTGAGTGTGTACCATAAGTTTGAGCAGTGGTTTAGCTTACAGCAAAAGATTCAGTGGCCCAAGTGATACTAAAGCTGGGTTTCAAGGGCAAAACTTTCAGCATCAGAACTAAACTTGAAAAGTGTTCACCCTTATTCACCAGTTTGCTTTTAAATTTCAGTTTGTTCTTGGCATCTTCCAAGTACAATTTATGGAGGCCATCTACAGTGTCTATGGTGCTTCCTCGTCTTTGCAGATGCTATGGCCACCATAGCACAAAGGTAATCCATTGCCTAAAAATACTTGTTTTGAGTAGTGGTCTTATGGTGTTAATGGTTATGATCAGTGGTTAAACTGCGATCTTCCAAGCACAATGGAGGTAGCAGTCTACAGTCTGTCAGTGCTTCCCTGTCTATGCAGATGCTGTAGCCGCCGTAGCACAAAGGTAGTGCATTGCCTAAAAATTACTTGTTTTCAGTAGTGGGTCTTATGACATTGTGATCAGTGGTTAAACTGCCATCTTCCAAGCACAATGGAGGTAGCAGTCTAGAGTGCTTCCCTGTCTATGCAGACGCTGTAGCCGCCGTAGCACAAAGGTAGTGCATTGCCTTCCTAAATAAAGTACGTTAGGCAAAGGTTGTGGGTTCGAGCCCCATCGGCGGTTTTTATTTCTCCTAGTACTAAATTTTTGTGCAAACCAACCTTTCTTTTTCCGCGAGTTGACGAACAAGTTCAGCTCCAAATTTTTCTGCATTTACTCTTCGGCTGAATAACAGTCCCTCCCAAGCAACCAGAATATCAATGTGATTTGAATGAACCATGAGCGCGGCGCGGCGCTTCGCGCCCCGCCGCCAATCTATGGTTCAGACACACGCAATTTTGTATACATCCAGGCGCATTTCAAAATTTTCAAAACTAACAGCGGATGCAAGTCCAATCGGATGTCAACACTGCCAGCCAAGCTAGCACGAGATACAGGTTTAGCCTTTCTGCACAGTTTCTCTTCGCACGAATAATCTAAGCAGCTAGAATATTAATGTGATTTTGAAAGAAACACGAGCGCGGCGGGGCGCTTCGCGCCCCGCCGCCACTTCACAGAAAGTTGCAGTCTGACCTCGAGAGCCCTGAGACGGTTCAAAGGCTTCAGACACATATAAGTTTGCAATGCATCCTACATTGCAGGTTCAAAACCGGGGAAGCAAAACCGGAGCCAGCACCCTGATAAGACGCCGCAGTCAATTGGTGCATAACGGCAACAACCCACCAGACACACCCAAAATAAAACTAAAAATAAAAACGATTCCCTACGTAGCACTAGAGAGAAACCCCTTGTCATTGCGACCGAGACAATGCATGCATTAGGCCGTATCAGCAATCCTAGGGTGAATGCGAAGCATTTCGCACACCACACTAGCGATAGGTCCAGCCAGATGCGGAGGGGCAAGTGAGTATATAGCCCATCACAAGAACGAAGAACAGAGCAGTAAATGTTGCGATCCCAGCCGGCGAATAGTTGTTTGCGAGGTTCCAGATCAAGAATTTGGACGTAGATCGTCCAATTGCAAAGAGCTCGAGCTAGAATAAATGCCTCATAATTGAGTACAAGCGAAAGGACGAAACGGAGGACGTGCGAACTTCGGAAATCAGAAATCAAAACAACTGCAAACCGGAACGGGTCGGGCCAGCAAATCTTTCACCTAGACCCCATCTAGACGACCGCCATGTCCTCCCCCGCCCTCGGAAAATGGGACGCCAGGTCTGTAATCCCTCTCTACCCCGCTCTCCCGTAACCCATCTCTTCTTTCCCAGGTTTCTTGGGCCTGTTCCCCATGACGTGAGCTACTACTCAAAGTGCATGCTCGGCGGCGCTCTTGCCTGCGGCTTCACCCATGCCGGTATCACACCCCTCGATGTCGCAAAATGCAACATGCAGGTCAGTGTTCCAATCCGCTCCCTTGCTCGTTTACTCAACAAAAAATGTTTTTTTTTCTATAAAAAAAAAGGTCAACCCCGTCAAATACAAGGGCCTGCTGCCTTCCTTATCACTGCTCTTGAAAGAAGAGGGCCAGACCGGTATCTGGAAGGGCTTCGGGCCCACCCTAGTCGGCTATTCCCTTCAAGGAATGTTCAAATACGGTCTCTACGAACTGTTCAAGGACACCTATATGAACCTCGCTGGCGAGGAGCTGTCGAACAAGTACAAGCCCGCCATTTGGCTTGCCGGTTCCGCCTCCGCTGAAGTTTTCGCCGACATTGCCCTTTGCCCGCTCGAAATGACCAAAGTCAAGATTCAGACCAGCCAGAACGGAACCTTCCCCACCGGCTTTGGAGCTGCCCTTACCCGCATGCGCGCGACAAAAGCCGAGACCCGCTTCCCCTTCGGCTCCCTCGGTCCTCTGTGGTCGCGTCAGGTTCGTGTCCAAGCTTGGATATTTCCGGCGCGCTCGTTAGTTACGATGCTGTTCACAGATCCCGTACACCATGGCCAAGTTCTTCTTCTTTGAGAAGATCGTCCAGTTGTTCTACACCCACGTTTTCACTGAGCCCAAGGATACATACAGCAAACCCACTCAGCTCGGTGTCACCTTCGCGTCCGGTTACATTGCTGGTGTTGTCTGCGCTATCGTCTCTCACCCCGCCGACTCGTTGGTTTCTCTCCTCGGCAAAGCAGAGAACAAGGGCAAATCCGTCGGACAAATCACCTCCGAGGTTGGAATCGGTTCTCTTGCCACGAAAGGACTGGGTACTCGTGTTGTCATGATTGGTGCGCATGCGTGCAATCCGTGTTATTTTCTTGGAGTTCTCTGACATTTATATTCCGATTTAGGTACCCTCACTGGCTTCCAATGGTGGATCTACGACTCGTTCAAGGCCGCCATGGGTATGGGAACGACGGGTGGCAAGTAATCGCGAGTCTATCAAGCTCAAAAAACGTTTGTGCTTTTCTTGCTCGGCCACGAACGTGTGATTGATCTTGTGATAGAATAGAGGCATTTCATGCATCCTATTTTACTTATTCGGCCTTGTCCCTCTTTTCGCGATTCGACTACATAGAATGGAACTTAATGCCTTCCTATCCATGAATGGAACGACCGGTATGACCCCCACTCATGAATTATTATTGTGCGGCATGCGGCCATCTTAGCAAAGCGTGCAAGTTTGAGAGAGCAATGTTACAAGTCGACGTCTAGGTGATGTCTTTACTGGGCTTTGCCCCCTTTCGCCTTCTTCTCGCGCGACTCGCCTGCCAACCAGGCAGCCGAGAACAGGAAGAATCCAACACTAGTGCTGATAGCACCAGCGTAATATGGCCATGCAGCACTGAGGAATCGCGGGTAGCCATCGTGCCGGGGAGGTACAAGAGCGACGGTGGTCGAGCTGTGGAGGTGCGTCCATCTGCGCAGCGTCAGAATACACTTTCGAGGAAAGTGAGGTATCGCACCCTTTTCGTTTATAGTTGATAACAAATTTAAATACACCGTGACGATCTGGGGCGCGGAAGGTAACAGAATACTTGCCGGGCGATCCAGGGACTGCTGGGAGAGCAGTGCGAATGTGAGGATCCAGCATCGTAAACTCGAGCTGCATGTCCTTGAGGCCGGAATACGGCTCCCAGGTCGACCTTTTGGGGTTGAAGCGCGAAATGTGAGCGGTGTAAACCTGGTGGATGTTTAAATGTCATCAGGAAACCATTGACAGCACGTACAATGTTGTCATTGGTGGTGTACTGCTCTAAGGGCGTCGTAGAGTTAACCAGATAGTGCGTAGTACTGTCGATGCGCAACACGAGCGACTCTTGGAACGTCCACGCCGCGACGTCGCGCGCGAATTGCGTGTTGCCGGACTTGACTCCCCTAAGGAAAGTGAGGTCTACAGCAATATACAAAGAAGATAAACGCACTTGGACACCTGCTTCTTGGCGAACTTGTCGCTGAAAATATCAGCTCCTCCGACCCAAGTCACACGAGCGCCGCCAAGAGCCTGGAATCCGGCCGCTACACTGAGCTGGCTGCCAGCCCAAAGACCTTCGCCGCCTTTCTCGGTCGCGTCAACTAAAACGTCGGCACCGCCCTCCGAGTCTGCAGCGAAGCTCTCAGGCGGCGCATTCAGAATCGGTACGAGTAACGGGTTGTTTCCGAGTACGAAAGGAACACCGGAGAACCATACGGGTGACATATTGGGGGACAAGATGAGAGAAGACGCTGGCGCGTCGATTGGGATCACCGAAAGTGGGTCCTTGCGCTCGGGAAAGAACGAGACCAAGGGCGTGCCAGGGGGCGGAAGAATGAGAGAGAATTCGGATGCCAGGGAGGAAAGTGGTGTCTGTTTTTGAGAAAGTGCGATGATCAGGTTTGTGCCGCCGGACAGAAGCTCAACGATGGACTGCGGTGTGATATCTTTGCCGAAGTCTGTACAACTAGAATAAATTCATGCCCAGTTGCACCAACGAAAGGCTCACTTTTGGATTCCGATGCAAGGATAATAATGTGAGAGAATGCTGGAACATCATGCTCAACTACAGCCGGTTTCTCGTCCTTTGGTGCGCGGAATGTTAGTTCATATCCCTGGGCTAACCAGGTGTCAAACAATTTCATTAGGATTCGCGTCCAGCACACCTTTCAGGTCGTCGAAGAAGATACTAAAGTCCTTCTTGTGCGTTTCCTCAACCACAACCAGAACAGAATCCCCTTCGCTGGACTTGGCGTGCAGAAGGCCCGACAAACTCAGGAAAAAGAGGACGAATGTATAGAATGAAAGCATGGGTCCTGGGTTGCAGCCAGCACGACAGACCGAAAATCGGAGGCCAATAAATGAAGGTTTCGGAAAGCAGGTTCCACGTCGGCGGCAGGTTATTTTGGGACGGCTTCAAGTTGTTGCTGCTTGCCAATGGCTTCCGCAACTTGATTGCCGATCTCCGCTCCCAACACGAAAAAAAATTAATCAAAAGCAAAAGAAATATATATATTCACAACGCAATCTGTGAACTATCCAGGCCCAACGCATGTAGGAAAAGATTCACATTCGCCAATTTTGTTCGCCTCTCATCCTCGTCCGCTACCCAGCCCTTGTTCGCACTCAACACATTCTCGAGCACCTTGTCACGCAGCGAAGTCACCAGTACCTGGTGCTGCTCTGGAACCGCCTGCAGCGCCAGTGCAGCCAGGAACTGCCACACCGGCTGGTCGATGATGTCGATGGCAAGGGCAGCACTAGTAGGATGGTGTGCTGCTAGCGTAATGCGACTCGAAGGGAATAGTGTCAGGAAGTGCGGTGTGAGGAGGACGAAGAATTGGTCGAATACAGCTTGCCTACATTGCAATCAGCATTTATGGATCACTCGGACACGGTTGGTATCTCACCATTGCTCGAGAGATGCCCCTGCGGTCATAGGATCCACAGGTTCCGCTCCTGTCCCCCATGCCTGCTTGATGACCTCTACCCGGCTCAGGAACAATGTAAGGAGGGCCAATCCGGGCTACAGCTGCACTTAATAACACGGTGATACATGATTGTTTGAATGCGTACCTTCGTCTTCGCGACAGCGGCAATGTCATGGTCATGGCTGCGCTCAATCAACAGCCCCAGAAGTGCGGTCACGACGTGCAGCTCTAGGTTCGCCACAATTGGCAGGATGCTCTGCAAGACGCTGCCAAGGAAGGCCTG